TGATCTCAAGTCTTTTGTTATGAGATTAAAATCATATCATGGCTATGGCTATGGCAGTAAATGTTACCGTGATTGTATGAATTTTTGAGATTTTTGTCTCCCTTGCTCAGCAACCTTTTTGTGTCCTTATCGGTGTTTTGGTTCAAAAAAGAATCAAACATCATACCACTGTGGTCCAGTATTTGTAAACCGACAGATGACGCACAAACAATGTCTACGAAAAGACTAAACAAGAAGTTGGGAAAGAAGTCGAGGTTCCTTTGTAGACAGAGGGTTATGGTTCGACACACACACACACACGCACACGCACACATGCTGCACTTCAGTCAAAACAACAAGCCAGGCTGCTGTAGTAAAATGACAGAAGTGTGAGGTCAGCATGTGACCCATTTTCACACACAGAGCTGTTTCAGTGGGAACACGAGACCAAGTGGCAAAACTGAGGAGGTCAAAGACAAAGACTCAATTGAACACAGGGAAAAAAAATTGTATAACAACATATGCACAGATTAGTCTGTTGGTTAAACATGGAGTCTAGTTTGGGAGTCTATGAGTTAATGCATGATCAAAGCCCAAATCCCCTAAATAGGAAAAGGCAAGAATGTACAGCACTTTATTCAAATCTCAGCCCCCCCCCAAAAAAAAAAAAAAAACGTTATGTGATTGTGTCGTATTGACTTTGCTGTATTGTTTTAAATACAGTGGCCTCTCCTGAACATCAAGCAGCAGTTTGCACTTTGGGACTTTGAGACTCTGAGATTTCTCTTCACTTCCTGAAAAAGTTTGTTAACTCGGAGGATTGGTTTATAATTTCTAAGCTCATCTTGACATTGAAGCCACAAATGACTTGTGTATAGAATGCACTTTATTCAGGTCCCACAGGTTACTGCGCACAACTCAGATACACACGTTCTTCAGCTCAGTTTTGACTCTAATACCAGGGCTGGCTAAGCTGCCAAACTTTCTCTGGGTAATTGTTATCTTCCATTCATTCCTCCTAATAGGCCTTTTACTCCATTGTCTCCACATCCTTTGTTTCCGTGACTCCACAGTATTTGGCAGCCTCCACTTTGACTTTGAGATGGCACCGATGGCAGACCAACAGACTGGGGAACCCGTTCAATCACATCGGAGCAGTTTTACAGTTCTGTTGTCACACGTACCCACTCCAGTCACTGTTAACCCACTGTTAATAATAAACACAATGAATAATCTGCCTTTACAATTAAGGCGACACACACTCTGCTGCACACTTTAGGCTTTGTTTTCATAATTGGATCCTCAAGCTGAGACAATAAAAAACCCCATTAAGGCGATTTCTCACATTTACATTAATGCACACATTGCACAATTTGTTTATGCAGCGAGTAATTTTCTAATTAATGTGGAGACCCCTAAATGCTTATCAGTGGGAAGGACTTGTTTTTTTTTCTCCACAACTCGTTCCCTGACTGTGTCTTTAACACACTGCTTCAGGGGGTTTCTCCGAGGGGAATTATACAGTATGTCTCTCTCTCTCTCTCTCTCTCTCTCTATGTGTGTGTGTGTTTGTGTGTGTTTCAGGGAGTTTAACAAATGATAGAGAAACCTCAGGGTTTTCCCGTCTTTGTTACTTTTTCAGCATTGTAACCACACAATAGTCCCTCTTTTTCTTGCACTTGCAAACACACACACACACACACACACTGGGGAGGTAGCCCGTCTGGTTGTACCACGTTGATGAACTACACCGTTGTCAGGTACAACAGCTACCTCTGTGGTTTAATTAACTGGGACAAAAACAGAAGGGAGAGGAGACAGAAACAAAGAAGGGAAAGAATGGAGCCTCGATAAGGAGCAGAAATATTTGGATTTCGTATGAGGATTGTTTCTCTTCTACCCCGCAGCACTTTTTTACAGCTAGGGTAATTTCAGGTGCCTTTTACATGCACTCTGGGGTCGTGCTACCGCTAAATGAAATTGACTAAATTGCTGTTGAGTTTCATTAGATGAAACTTGAATTACAGTTTACAAGAGCTGGTGGCTGTGTGTTGCCCAAAATCGAGGAGAAGTTTTTTTTATCTCTTTGAGTGTTGCTAAATATTTGCCCATTTGAATGACGAATGTAGAATTTCAATATTTTTCAGTTCACCACAGAAACTAAGCTGAGAGCTAAGTTTGTGAAATATATCATATTGAATTTAGTGTTCAGTCATCAACTCAGTCTGAACACATGAAAATGTGTGTTCATATTTTCTCCCCCGAAAGAAAGTGACAATGCTCCTTTTCTTCAGTCAGTGTTGCTCCACGGGCGCTGACTGCATGTCTCAGTCTGTTTAGGCTGATGGAGAGGTCGAAACTGCTAATGTGTTGTTGTGATACAGGCCCCGTGTTAGTGGACACACACACACACACACGTGCACACATAGAGATATGCAGGCCACTGACTGTCTCTTGAGATTAATGTTGGTGTGATCCACTCAGCTGGGCCTGATCACATTAAGATGGATGGACCCCCTGGTGGTGTGTGTGTGTCTGTGCGCGTGCATACAGGGTCCCATCTGTCTGTGTTTTCTCTACAGTGAGGTCCTGTGACCCAGCTGCCATCTCTAGTGCCCTCGACTGGGATAAAGCAATACCCTGAGAGGGAGAGATGGATTGATTGTCTTCCTTTGTGACATTAAAAAAAAAATGCTTGTGGCGCTGTAGTAGCAAATATCAAAATGATTATAAAGATATTTGCAGGAGTTTGGGTAGGTACTCAGTTAGGATGAGTGGGGGGGTGGTGGATATGTGAAGTAAAAAAAAAAAAAAAAAAAAAAAAAAAAAAAAAAAAAAAAAAAAAAAAAAAAAAAATATATATATATATATATATATATACTATCCAGAAAAAATGATGTGTTCTACCACAAATGCAAGCAACAAAATGTATTGTTTTGTTTCCATTGACCAATCGACTGGTAACAGGAAGTGGCATTCTTCTGCTCCCAGTCCTGCAGGGGGTGCTATGAAGACAGTTTTAATGCATTGCTGCGTGAATGGAGTGTGTTGTTATTTTGTATATGAATCCAATTGTTGAACTTCATTCAACGTATCCCAGATGAGGATTTTGTTTATATACAGTATCTTGTATATTCATCCCAAAAAACTCTAAAGGTTATTTGGAATCATAAAAGCCTGATTCCCAGTCTGGATGTATAATTACAGTGTTACTGCTGTTGAGGATCGTTCTTGTTTTTTTTTTTTTTCTTCAGATCTTTTATTTTAAAACATCCACTCAGATTTACTCAAGTCAGTTTACTCAAAAAAATATCACTAATTTGTTCTTGGAAAAATCCCTCTTCTGATCATTATGTCAAAGACGCACATTCAATCTAATTTCCCCCTGAAAGGCCCCTTTCAGCTGGACCCATGGTGTCTCCGATGACCTGCCTCTTCCCAGTACTCATAACAACAATAGCCTCCATTCAGAGGCCTGCAGAAACTTCAAGGTTAAACCGATTATGTGTTTTGACGTTACTTTGTTACCACAGTGAGACACATTTCTGCATGGATGTCATTTAATGACCGAATGCTAAGGACTTTGAGGCTAAAGTGGCATTTGCATTATTGTTTGAGTCCTATTTAAACACAAGGTGACTCAACATAAAGACCCTGATAGATATGACGCTGATATACAGAGACATGAATCTCACGACCAGCAGTCGGTTTTAGCTCCTGGAGACTCTCCGTTTCTAGTCCGTGTCAGTTCTGTGATTAGGTTAACTATGTTTTTACTTTGCTTCTTCCACTATAAAAAGGCCTTTGTCTTCGGCTCAAAGGTTTCATAACCATCTGATTTTATAGGTTGTCAGCCTGTTTATGTTTATGGGCATATTTGTAGCTGTTTATAGTAAGAAAAAAACACGCTCTGTTCTCTGTTTTACTCCGCTGCTCTGAATTACTTTAATTTTTAATGATGTTCCGATACTCTTTACAAATTTGTCTTTTCTTTTGTGTACTTTTCAAATTGTTGCCCCTGATTTTGGAATTCGTCCAAACTGTTGAAATTTTGACTAGCTGCAGTGAAAAGCCTGTACAAAATATTGAGTCCCCGGAGCGGTTTTAGAAAATTAATACAAGTACTTGGTGAGGTACCGATAACGTGTATCCCTGGTTTTTAAATGTGAATAAATTGGAAACAGTCTTGTAGTGACATTTGTTCATCAAGATGTAATGATTTTTTTTTGTTTAATTCATTTAGTATCTTCCAGCAAAAATAGCAACAAACACAAAAGTTCTGCCCCCCAAAAAAGTAAAAACCATAATGAGTGAAAAGAAATGACTTCATTAACAATATTGTATATATTTAAACCAGTGTGACAGATTGGAGGTCAAGAAAGAAAACTGGTCAGTACCAAAAATACTTTTCCACACTGGCCTCTTTATTTCCCCCAGTGATCCACAGTCACGTTGAGAAGAAAAGCCCTTTGTATCATAAATAAAGGCTTCTCAACAGTCAATACCACGCATCTGGATCTGCTGTGAAGGAGAATTCTCTTCCCTCTGTGTTTTTTTGTTTCTTATTATAACGTTTCTGCTTTGTAGTTTTATACCCTCACTTTCACGGTCTGCAAGAACTGATCTCCTTTATTTTTAGTCAAACAAAATGATTTGGTCCACTGCCCGCCTCGAGTCATAAAAGGGCAGCTGCCCACGTTTGTTTCACCATCGGCCGGAAAAGATTTTTTTTTTGCATTAAAATTATGTTTTGACTCTGAGATACTAACAATGACGAGTATTAATAAATGTCTTGCTATTTTTGTTTTAGTCATTTTCCACAGTTCATTATTGATGATTTGAATTATATTATCAGGACAAATCAATTTCTTATACATGATGTGATGTTAATAAACATTTTCATCTTCATCACAGTCAAAATTATTTCGGAATAGAATCCAGTTGTTTTGACATCTGTGCTTTTCTAATCAGTGTTCTAATTGTATTTTCTGCCCTTCACCGCCATCTCTGTCTGTCTCCAGGTGTCTAAACGCTTGTACCTACTGTAAGACCAAACACGCCAGAGGAGACCTGGCCAGTTATCCCATCGAGGAGCTCGTGGAGCGAGCCAGGCAGTCTTTTCAAGGTGAGTGTTTTCAATGTCTGCCTCACACCTAAAAATTACTTCAAAAAATCCAAACTATTTTTCATTTATCCCCAATTTAAATTCAAATACTACTCCAGGTGTTTAGGCTTTTTTTTTGTTGCTGTCAAACAAAATCACACATCTGAAAATATTACAAAACTTACACCTGATGTAATTAAAAAATAGAGGTGACAATAATCGATTGGTTATATTTAAATGTGTGAGAAATGTCACGGTTCAAATATTTTATCTGAAGGGTGAATCCATCTTGGTATATTGTGAAGTATATTGCAGTGTGATGAGACATGTATTTTATCACTCCTAGGGTATTTTGTGTAGTACTGCATGTTCACTTCATGTATTTTATCACTCCTAGGGTATTTCGTGTAGTACTGCATGTTCACTTAGACTGACGAACGCAAAAAGCAGAACGCTATCCGTGCGCCTCCCCATGTACAAAAGAGGTGTTGCAGTCAGTTTACCAAGGGGTGTTACTCTTCAGATCATCATTTGTTACGCCATCAAAGGGGTTTTCCATTGACCACGCCCATCTCCGGTCAAACCTTGGTCAAAATCCGCAGGTACATTCTGAGTGTTGAAGTAAAAAGTCAACCAAATATTTCTCTCTCGAAAGCCAGATGTAACATATTGTGTTAAAAGCTGAGTCATCATCTTTGACTGAAAATATTACAATTAGCCGGTGATTAAGTGATTTATCAAGTCCTACTGTATATGTCTTGAGTTTGTTCATGTCTGAGCACATGGGGTCGCTATTCTTCAGTTTTTAGTCACTTATGTTTGCTTGTGCTTTCAACATGTGATATAGTGGCAGTGCCTGCTTGTGTGTGTGTGTGTGTGTGTGTGTCTGTCCTCCTTTAGAAACACATGCTGATGTTTATTGTTCTTGGGCAGAGGCTGCAGCCAGTTGGCCGCAGTTTGATGCCAGATGAACAGCTGATGTTCACCGGCATCTGTTCATCCAGAGTAGACTCTCTGAATCGCTAACCAAAACAGCAGGCCCTGTCTCAGCCTCAGGCAGGTCAGTCAAGGGCAAACCCACACCCAGGTTTCACCCAACGGTCCGAAACTCTGCCATTTTAACACGGCCTTTATTAATGGGTTGGAAAAACCTGTTGGTGTTATGGAAAGTTTTTTTCTTTTTTCACCTGGTGTTAAAATCACTGCGGTTCATCTGTAAAAGTACTGAGTGATGCAGATCAACGTCCAGACTGCCAGCTGATTAAATCGGACCAGATGTTGGGTTATGCGATCTTCGTGCCCATATATTAGGTCAATGTATCATCCCATTAACATGTCTTTTGGTGTGATTATTTAAATTAGATAGATAGATAGATAGCACTTTATTAATCCCTCGGGAGTTCCCTTCGGGAAATTTAGGAAGTTGAGTCCAACATGAGAACATTTTGGTTCTGCTTGGTTTTGAAATAGCCATCATTAACCACAGCTGGGCCGATAAATAATCTGAAAATATAACACAAGTGCACAAAAGGTAAAAAAAAATACAGAAAAAACCCTGAAGTTTGACTCAGCAAACCAACTCCTCCTGTAACATCTGAAGACCGCACTGTCCGTGGCAAAACTCATCTCTTGGCTAGGCTAAAGTAGCTCCTATTTGAAATGAGAGTTTTTTTGCTTTCATAAACCAAAACCTGTTGTTTAATAATTCAGCACAGTTTCATTGGCAGATACCTCAGGAGCAAATTTTGTCAACAGCCGTTTCATCTTTTTGTTTGGTGTTACGGCAGATTCTCAGGATCTTGTGTTAGTTGACGTTTCAGCAGAGTCTGTGGGAAACTGACAAACTAAAAAAAAAAAAAAAAAAAGAATGACTTACGTGACTAGTCAGGCCCCTGTTGTGTCAGTTGCGGCCCTGGGCTGTTTTCACACTGACATCCCATTGTATCCAAAATACACATGGGACCATGGTGTGGCGTTAATGCAGGTAAAAGCATGAGGCAAAAACAGGGTTGACCCCAAGTCAAGAGGCACAGATTAACAGATGTGAAGATACCAGAGTTGCACTTTCAGGTCTTTTGTGACAAGATAGTCAAACTGTCAGACCCTCAGCCGTGTCCCACTGACATGACCGAAGAGTCCGGCCGGTCTGAGTCAGTGCTGTTGTCAAGCTCTGGTGAATATCAGGTAAAATGCTAAGCAGGAAAATGCCCTTGACAAGGACGCGGCTTTTCCTAAAGCCCTTCCAGAACTCTGTTAAACAGCTGCATCTCTGCCACTGCAGAGCCCCAGGGTGGGCTGGAAAGGGCACACTCACCAGCTGCTTGAATTTGTCTATGTCTCTGTGTGTGTGTATGTGTGTGTGTGTGAGACAGAGCGAGAGAGAGAGAGAGACAGTGTGTGTAAGGATACATCTGCCCTTTACAATTGTTTTACAGAAATGGGAAGTTGAAAATCTACAATAACAAGTTTATTTTTGGATCAGAAAATAAGCAGGCTTCTGTGACAAACCACTAATTCTCCCCTGATCTTTGCACTATTTCATTAATGTTATTTATTTAGATTTTTTTTATAGGGAAGGCAGATTTTACATTAATGAACGTGTAAATCTAAGTGTGGAGGATTATAGCCACAGACACATTTCTGATAATTTCTCTCCAGTGACAGAAAACAGCACAACAAACAATAACAATAATACAAGACTAGGGTTGGAAAAACACAACAGTATCACAGCATTCAGGTTTTTAAAGTGCAAAGTGCAGAGACATGTACAGACAAAGTACCACGTGTTCAAAATATTCTCAATGCTTCTTAAAGTAAAAATAGAGATACAGCTTCACTGATTACTTTCCATATCAACAAGTCGAAAACCTTAGCCTTAAATCACCTGCAAAAAAGGTGGTGTGTGTGGTTCTGAGTGTGTGATCCGTTAGAACACAGGAAGCACAAGTTGCAGAGACGGTTACTTGTTTTGAAAACAGTGAAAGAGGAAGCTGGAGGTCACTGTCTGTCATCATTCTCCCACAGTTGCGGACGGATGGCTTTCTGAAACAGAGAATCAGTAAAAGTGTCTCTGTCCATCTGCTCTTCTCTGTCAACCACAGCTCTTTTTTTAATTCAAACTCTTTTTGCGGGTTGGCTAAAGTGTTTCATATCTACATGTTTATCAGGCCAGCTAATGTTAGCCCTTGTTAGTGTGACTCTTCATCACGTAGCTCAAAATTGTTTGGCATCCAAGATATGAGATGTCACTCAATGCATCTTGTGTCCAGATTTAGTTTGTTATTGATGACATATTAAGTGTCTTTGCCCTGATGAAAACAGCAGCAGTGCTCTGTGGAACTGAACCAAATGCAAGTTGTTTTTTTTATCTATATTGAAAAATAATGGTCATTAAATCTTGAAATCTACACCTCTACATAAATGTTTCAATATGTAAAACATATTTTAGTGTTTGGCCACATTTGGACAATACTTCTTCCCGGGGAACATAATAATTGAGAGCAGCCGAGCTCCGAACCACAGAGAAGGAAAAAGTCTTTTCTGTTGTCTGTTGTGTTTCTGGGCTGAGCGATGAGAACAGCTTTATCTCACCTTTAACTGGGAATAGGCTGTAATGTATTATATGTTTGCCCGTCACATATAATAAACCTCCATTGTGTTGAACAAATTCGAATCATCTGACAAATTTGCAGACCAAAGTCAAGCTGATTACTCTGTCATATATTTGGAATCACATTAGTCAGTGGAGCAGCTCTGTCTCCGTCCACTGTCACAATCTTCTTATCACAAATAAATTTGACAATTTGATTTGCAATTTGATGTCTCTTGAATATAGAAAAAATAATAATAAAAAAATAGAGGGCTGTGAGAATGAATGCTAATTTTAATTGGACAGTCAGGATGCATTGGTGGTATTTGGTTGGTTTATCCCAGTGAACTTTGAAAGGATTTATGGGATTTATTCAAATGCGATTTGAGGTAAATAGTTCTCTTTCCATCTCGGAATAAAAGCAGAAGTGAGCCAGCGCGACGCTTTTAAAATAATCAGAATTATTCAAATGTGTGAATGGATAATTTTTGAACATCAGAGAGGTTTCTTTAATATATGCAGGTGATGGAGGCTGTGGGTGTCATCGGAAATGACAGGTGTGTGTGTGTGTATGTGGGGTGTCACGGCTTGTTTGGTGTGTGTTAGAGACAGAGAAGCGTGTGTGGGTTTGTGTTTATCTTCCAGGCGAGTGAAGAGAAATATTTAATCATATTCTTGTGGGAGAGCAATTTTAGCATTGATAATGTTCTTTGTGAGCTGAGGTGAAGGTAAACAGCCGTCATTCACCACAGCTCGGCTCTCTGGGTTTCATTTTTAACTATTTCACTTTGTATTCATTTACGTTATAAAAAAAAAACCCATTCAGAGGTTTTCTTATAGAAGAATTTGGCCTCATTAACACGACATGTGAAATTGATCTGTTTTGGTCTAAGGCTGAGCAGCAAAACGCTCACAATGACCTGGTATTTCAACAGAAGACTGTAGATGTTTGGATATTTCAGCCACGTTCGCTCCTCTTTTCTGAGTTATGTAAACATTTTAAATAACATTTTTTCTTTTTACTTTCAATATTGATTTTGTTGCATTAATTGACCCATGGTCAAACTTAGCCTTTGTTGCTACAGTAATTCTTTTCTTCAATCTTTTGAAATATTTTCTAAGTTAAATCAAGTTTGCAGCATTCCAGCTACTGAATGGTGAGGACTGCAGATCAGACTGCAGATATTAAATGTCCAGGTAACAGTTGTAGGAGCAGGACAAGTTCTAGGTTATAACTGGATAACTAGCCCTCATACAATAATAACTTTGATTTCAAAGGATGGAGGACATTTATTCCCCAAAACCAGAAAGAACATTTGAAAGGAACTTCAACTTCAAAGACGAGTCAGAAAGCAGTTTCTGACCTGGAGGGAATAACATTTTTACATAGAAGAAGTTAAATGATTCTAAACTGTTTGCAGAAGATTTAAAA